GCTACTGGCAGTTCAACTGAAATTGTAACAGATGATGAAATTGTTTCGACAGACGTTTCTGGCTATAGCATTATGTCTTCTGTCAGTGGCACTGTAACTGAGGATGAAACCGATTATATTACTACACACGTCCCCACTGACGTGGAAGCTAGTATTGGAATGGAAACTGGAACGGAATTTAGTCAACACATTACAACTGACAACAACAATGCTGAGACGACGGCCTATTTTCCGACAAAGACTCTGGCTATGTCATCTTATTACAGTACAAATGATATATCTACAGCTTCTTCCACTGTCTACCCTCAAACCTCAACACACGTACCAAGCACTGGTGATACTGGAACTGCTGCAGGAAATGTAACTGACACAACTGAAGGCGAGCATCTGACTACAGCAAACAGGGAAACAAGTCAAAATATCATCAGTTCACATCAATCTGTGTCGACAAGCTTGCAGTCGACCAGATCCTCGACAACCATGCCCACCATGGCTCAGACAACTGTTGTGTGCGCATGGCAGGCATGGGGTAGCTGCAGTGCGACCTGTGGTCCACATGGTATTCGCACACGTTATTGTGTGATTGGCAATGTTATCATGGACACTGAGGAAGAAACATGCAATCGTAACTGTCATAATGGTGGTCAACTTACAGCTCAGTATTGTATATGTCCATTACACTACCATAGCACGTGTTGTGAACTACATTCATCAACTGGTATGTGTGATTCATTCATTAATTGTAACATGGCAATTGTCATCAACACACGACTCAAAGCTATTCTAGAAATAGCAAGTGTAATTTGTCAAATGATATATAACTGATCTTAAACGGCCTCGATATCCAGTGTAGAATACCACTTCCATCAGAAACTGCTAATTCGAATTGAGAATCCCTTTTTTTGCGTTTACTGCAAAACGAATAAGTCGTGCTCGCCCATCCTGATCATGCATGTTCTTTATGGTTCACATACCTCCACGGATTTGACCATATTTCATTGTGATTTGCTTTCACTTGAATTTCGTTTGAATATGAAATTTATTACTACTTTTTTTCATAATGAAATTGCCGTCCATAACACAAGTCAGTTTTCATAATTGTATTTTTGCTGCATTGTGTAATCGAGTTGTAATTCCCTCTGACAGACATATCCCTAGTTATCTCTAGTACTGATGAGGTACTATTTACCTGCGGCGTTACATTCATACACTCATCTGATACGTGGAATCTGGAATTTGAATGGTTTGCTGGGAGCATTTCTATTTTCACTGAGAACATTGCTAATGGCGCAGTACAGTCCATTCTAACAGAAGACAAATGGATAGGAAAAATGGGGTCTTCCGTAAGTCAACCATTTATGTAAGTTTTTATTCCCCGTCGACTATGTGACAAGCAGTGAAGCTAACTTGCGTTAAGACCATCAACATCGTTAAGATTATAAAAAATGTATTCATACAGAATTATGTTCACTATTTCAGATCAAATGCTCGGTTAAAATAACTGATGGTGGTATTTACCTCGGGGAGTTGATAAGTGACCCATACTTTGCAGGCATAAAGGTAAGTATGGCCAAGAAAGATTTGTTAGATAATGGTATGCAACTTTCATAAATAATGTAGGTGAAAAGCGATTAAGATCTCATGAAAAAAGCAAACTCTCGCGATTTGCTAACGTTCAAAAGCGATTGGATTATTAGAGGCGCGTCAATCGTCAAGCTCCAACCATAGAGCCACAAAGCGCAGTGAGTGTTTGGAAATTATCCGAGATTATATTATAGCCATATTCAAAAATACACGTGTTCGCTTGGTAACTCACCAATGACACTACTAAAACGGTCTGAAATAAACCATTTTCCACAAACTCCCTAATTTGCATTACATTAATTCTATATTAATAGGACAATAACACACATTGTCAAACCTAAGTAATACCACATGTGCATTGTAACAAGCCCAATGTGATTTACATAGAAAGTGACCTGTATATGAAGACCACCTATTTTTTGAATTATTTAATCAATGTCCGTACAAATAACCAATTATCTTTTGCGGTATTTCGACATAGTGGAAATAGTGGTAGTCCTTAAGTGTTTGTAATGCTCCTTCAGCGTGATAACACTTACATGGTCATTTACGTAAAATGCTTCAGGAAACACGGACACTAATGCACATGTAAACTTATGTATGACAGATTCACGCACCGTCAGTTATAGACCTCTATGAAAACGACGGAGAGGTGTCATTTCAAATGGAATCTACCGTGCCCTTCGTGTGTAGGAGTGGAACTGTACCTTCATATTACCCTTGCCAGATGAAGGTGCAAGCCAGTATATCTGACCGCTACTGGTGGTATACACGTTTCCAAGATGTGGTTGCTAGAGATGAGTGTGGTACCACTTTCACGCCTGGAAACTCCGTGGGTATGCACATGGTATACTTGAAGGCTAAAAGAGACTTCTTTAATGATGGCGATGGGTATATTTTGCTTGAGTTTCCAAGAATCAGAACATCTTACTCCAGAATTTGGAACAACTACAAGATACCAGATATTGTACAGGTTAGTTATTTTATGTTTGACTATAATACTTTGGTGCATATTATCCTCTAAATAATTGACTTCGTATTAGACCCCCTAAGTAACGTACGATTCTACAACTGAGTGTCATTTATAAACCAACAGGTACGAACACATGATCGAGACAGACCTGTACGAAAGTGTTGTAGTAGCGGCGACCCTCACCTGACATCTTTCGATAACACGTGAGTCTCCCTTTACACTAAGATATCAATGTTTTCACATTCAATTATATAGGAATCTAGCATATAACTCTAGGATCAACGTTGTGCACTGATCTACCCTTCGTTTATTTAGCTTACTGAAAGTTTGATATGCACTGTGCGAATGTTTATTGTACACCATGAGGTTCATTCTTTCTCTTAATGATTTGACATTCTATTTTAATCTTCGTGGACTTAATCATGAAATCAGAATTTCAGTCTTGTTTCGGGAAGATGATATATACATTACATTACATTACATTACATTACATTACATTACATTACATTACATTACATTACATTACTCTTGTATATTACAGGTATTTCCATGTCTACTCCCCTGGTGAGTTTATCTTCTACAAGCATAAATACCTGCCATATGAGGTAACTAATAATCTTGGAAAATCATTTCTTCAAGAAATGTGATTAGGGGTAATATACCAGGGATATAAAGATTCCCATACAGTTCTTTCGATACTAAAACTAAACATTATTTTTCCAGATACAAACCCGCCTCACCCGATGTGGCTCAGTGGCTTGTAACTGTGGCATTGCTGTCAGAGCTGGAGATGACATCATTATTATCGACAAATGTCAATCAGTGTCTATCTTGACTGTTTATTACCGGTGGGGCAGACAATATTATTATTATCGAAGATATTCTATATTGAATATTGAGGTGAAAGCTATAGGGCAAATGACACCCGGATTTAAGTTGATCAGAATGTATTCTGGCACGATGTATAAGGTAAGTAAAACCAGATAACGGCGTGGTTTCAATGTTCCGTATTCTCCATGTATGAGCAACTTTAGAAGTCTTGAGTATGAAAATCGTGATCAAATTATGTTTGACCAATCAAGACACGTCTTACAAACAACATTGGCATACCTGGAAATATTGGTTTGATCTATGTTTGTTTGTGTGTGTGTACATATTTACTATCACCTTCCAAGATGTGTTCACTGCCCCGCCATTATTACCTTGGAGGATCATGTTAATGCACTCTCTTTGTTCATTGTTTATTGTCCATATGCCACGTCAATTCTAATTGGGAGCGTGTTTGACATGTGCTTTAAATCAAATATATATATATATATATATATACACTCACGGATTTGTGGGAGAGGAGTTTACATAAAATACGTGAAACTGTGCGATTCAGACGATGATATGTCAAAGTTAATTGAATAAAACTCCTAACCAATCACAAGCGTGTGTTCATTGATTTTCAGATCCATCTCCCAACCGGTGCGTACGTAGAGGTTTACACATATCAATACTCGTCCTACATCAATATATGTTTCTCCCCTGCTGCGGACGACTACGGTTGGATTGGCGGTGGTCTGTGTGGAAGTTACGACAATGATGACGGTAATGACTTTCTGCATGGACCTTTCGGAGCTTCGACAAATATATATAGCAATACACGACCTACGTATTACAGTTATTGGGGAAGTATCCCAACAGCATTTTCAGATTCCTGGAGGTGGGTACACAGATTATATCTATAGGCAACGTTCATTGAAAATAGAAATCGCTATTTAGTAGTTAACTGTTTTTTTCCAATTTTAAAGATTTGAAAAAATGAAAGATTTTAGCCGTGACCATTCTTAAAGAAATAGTTAAATTTCAATCAACCACCTGAAAACAGGTTTCGGGTAGGCATTTAACTTCGGTTTTTATTCGGATGACCGATATTTTATAAAACAAAATTTGAATTATGTACTTGATAAATTTTAAAGAAAAATGATCATATGCCGTTACAAAATATAATGATCTCCAGTCGGACATCTTATATTGCAATACATTATGGGCCATATAAATAATGTTTAACAAACAAAATAGACGCCAAAAAATTTCTGCCATGCCGAAATTAAACTTGCCAATGACAAGGGCAGACGGGCGCATTGACTGACAGACAGTTTTGATACAACTTTAGTAGAGAACCGCATTCGGTCCATCACTGTTTTCAAATGATATCATCGTTTCATTGCAGAGTACCCTACGGACAGAATTTGTTTTATGGTCAACTTAGTTACGTGGCAATACAAAACCCTGTCAACGTGTACTGTACGTGCAGTCGCAACTATTACTATTATTGGTACAGCGACAGTGTCAATGAACAGTGCGACTACGGCAAAGACATCAGCAGAACATATCTGCCTTATCCGAGTTATCTTTGGTGGTGGTGGTGCAATTCGTACTGGTGCGATTTAACCTATACATACTATGGAATATCTCGGTACAAAAGAGATACATCTGAAGCAGGATCTAACTCTACTGCCAATGACTTCGTATTCTCATACGATGAAGATTAGTATTTGAGGTAATTCCTCTTATTTAAGTTACAAGCAGAGAACACCAATCGTGTTAACGATCTCAGAGCATCGTTCAAGAATATAGGTCATCTGTATGTTCCCGCTCCTTCCGTTGTTACATACGATTGTCGAACATATAACCGACGCAAGTGTTGGCACACCGAGGCGTCACGGTGCTTGCAAGAATCACGTCCCTTTAACCGTAGAAATCAATCTCGGTTAGGGTTATGGGACTTTCATTGACTCAAACATATATCTTACAAATTATTAAAGACCAAACTTTTAATTGACTCCACAATAAGTAACATTTTTATCAATATATTAACGAAGCCCCGATTTACGGTTTCTATGTTAGTTTGTTTGTATTGAAATGTTGTGAAATAGAAAATACACGGGATATTAAATTCGCGACCTTACAAAATCAGATTTATTAAACAGGTATCGTAAATTATATTTGTGCACCATCTTTCTGATATCACATATTCTCAGACATCCTTCATATACGCACGCAATAAAATAGAAACGAAAATCAGTCGTGGCCTGTTTAAATGTAAATATATATTGACTATCTTCGTTCCGCAGGAGCCATCATGGCCGACAGCCAGTGGTATTACAGAACAACAGGCGAATGAATACTGTGAAACACAAATCATGAACTCAACAACTGGTCAACAATGTATTTCTGTGCTAGACGACAAAGATATCGATGATACCATTGATGGCTGTGTGACTGACGTACAGGTACGAACATTCAACTCATGCCTATAGTAGTCGGGCAATTTTGTTCCGGATTTTGACCATGTCTCTGTCAAACCAGTAGTATTCCAACTTTGCCGTCACTATCATTTTATCGCCAGTGTTTTTTTGAACCCAACTATTTCACATTACATAATGCTAAATTTCGTCACTTGGCAACATCGCCATTGCCAATAAATAAAAACATGGGCATGTTCGCAGCAACCTTTATATGGATTTTAATCACTAGACACAATATTATGTCTGGTGCTAATACCAAGTTTGGAAAAAAGGTGATTTTTGTGATTTTTTTTGAAAATTTTTCTCCAAATAGCTGAAATAATGTTCATATGAATTGAATTTAAACAAAATTAGAGATAATGTATCCAGAGAGGGATGATGAAAACAAAATGGCCGCCAGCCTTTTAAATTTTATCGCAAGTTCACAAATTACTGACAAAAACATGCATTTTATTATGCCCGCCTTTTTACTAAATTCAATGACAATCTGTGAAAGTGCATTATAGAAATACGTAGATTACATGGAACACAACAAAATGGCCACCAATCAGTCATCAGAACCATGTCACTTGTGTGAAATCAGCCAATCCACGCCTTAACAACAAAATGGCCGCCGGGTCAAAAGTCAACGAAACGAAAACAAAACAAACAAAAACAGGTTGCCGTGCAAGGTATACCATTATGACTTGCCTTTGGACCACTTTTAGACGAACCGTTCGTGACAATAACGTCGGACAGACTGGCGCTAGGACGCACGGAGGGTCATTTTTGGTTGGGTAGGGGCATATAATCATGTAAAACCGCATTGCATTTTGGGAAATTGATGTTAGTTTACCGGATGCTCTAAATCACGCATTTCATGGTGTATCTGTTTCCTCATTATTCAGGTTCTGGATGACTTGATCCAAGGATCTGCGTCTGCGTTATCTTCAATCCAATCACAGTGTATTGAGGTTGCAAGTAGAAACACGACATTTTGGGACGCGGCCGAAAGCAATAACAGCACAAATGCCACATTTGCACAGCCAGCGACCGTCATTGAAGTGTTGTGCCCGGGTGACTGCAACGGCAGGGGAGTGTGTCTTCTTGGTCAGTGCAACTGCACGCTGGGATACGCTGGAAGTGATTGTGCCATCGATCTGAACCAGGCACCGGAAGTATGGTTCCCTTATGAGAGTGGCTTGTGCAATACAGAAGATGGATGTCCTTCCAATGTTCCCATATATGGCAATAATTTTGTGGAGTCAGATGATTTGACTTGTCATGTGTTACCGGTGAAGGTAAGGAGATAGCGGTTTATTGGACAGTATACGGTCAGTCAGTAACTAGTATACTAGTATACTGTAAACTACTTTATTTTAGCTGGAATTAATTTCCCCTGAATAGACTTTTGGTGTTTTGTTTTCACTTATTTTTGACGAGTCGAACGTAAAATATAGGGAAAATGGTATATTCGCTGGATTTTATTTTCACTTAATCATTCCTTTAGCGAAAATTAGTTGCAAGCGACTCGGAAAATAAAGTATTTTATAGTACATGCATACTTTAATAACGCCACATTAATATTATTGTCGATACACTGAGCTGGTTATGTAGTGGACATGCCTCCATTCTTATAACTGCTGTTTGTTACTATAGCTAACAGAAGAAGGGTTCACAATCCCCGAAAACACCAGCGAAGCGCATGCTGGGACATTTCAAAACTACGGTGAGGTGGAGTGTCCACATCCAGGTACTTTACGCGAGAAACGCGACATCAATGGTACCGGTTCAAGTAAGCCTGCTGATCCTGTAGGAGGCCTGTTCTCGGTCAGCAATGATGGGGTTCGTGAAAGCGTCCAGGTTCTTGTGATATCATATAATGGCAATTGTGATGTGTGTAACAGTACAGAAGGATCGTGTTATAGAAAGGTGCGTCAATCGTGTCTGTTCTGTTGTTAGTGTGGGGTGTGCAGGTGAATGGTGGCTGACAATGAAGTCGGAGGACAACGGACTACCTAAACAGTACTGTGAACTAGTTCAGTCTATCTAGAACAATAAATGAATATGAAAATAGTTTCATTTCAACTACTAACTAACTAACTAACTATGATTGGTTGATTCACAGACAGATATTTGCATATTTAATGGCGATTGTTATCACGAAGATAGTGATGAATGCCAGACAGACGTCTATCAAGGTAAAAATAAGCCGAATATGTTTCCGCACTCTTGCACGTTGTTGAGAATTAACAATTATTGCTGTCACCGTTGAGGGCGACATTGAATTGCTTTCGTGCGCCACTAAGTACAAAAGCAAAATAACTTGTTCTTACTCGAATCTTGGAAAGAAAGCCATATATAAATGTGTCCCAACATCGGTGACAATGTGTGGATTTGGGATATTGTGCATATTTTCTTTCCTAATTTGCAGTGATATTTGAAAAAGTCTGGCGCTCTGCCCATGTCTTTCAAATTGAAAGGCG